AAGGATTGCACAAATTTTTACTAACGCGCTGATAAAACCAAATTAAAAGTTCCTGGGTTTAGTATCACAACAATGCCTCTGGGAGCTTTAGTTGAGCGGTAAAATCCTGTTTGATGACACATGCATCATCTGGGGTTGTTAGAGACTCTGCAGGTTGGCCATTCCCTCAGACTGTCCTGTTTGCTAGTGCCAGTGCTGCTGTAAGATGGTAGCTTAGTAAGGAGATGTGGTAGTACTGCCTAAACAAAATCGTACTGTCCTGAACCAGATCTTGCTCTGGATAATATTTTGCCTAATTGTAAGTAGTGATTAAGCTTCTTAAAGACTCAGAAACTGATCCAGCCTTCACTGAAATCAGGGGGAGTCTTTCACACTTGGATCAGATCCTAAGGTATCCTTTGAGGAATGCTGTTGAAGACAGTGAGGTTTCCACAGTGAGAGGGGAGACGCTGGCTCCCATCAGTTAAGAGCTAAAAAAGAAATTAGGGAAAATAGAATATAGTGTTCCTCATGGATTTCAGTTTAAATACTCTTTATGAAGCTGGAGCAGCAGCAGTGTGATTTTGTTTCATAAATGACATCTTTCACTTACAGCTTCATTCTCTTCATGAAAGTGCCCTCTGCTCCTGCCAGGGTTCTATAGAGAGGATTTAGTGTAAATGGACCTTTGTCTTTGGGTTGCGGATTAGATAAACTGATTCACAATGCACGTTAATTAAAAATGACTGTGTGCAAGTGTAGCCAGCATCGCTAAAGCCAGTTAGGCCTGTGAAAGCACAGGGTGACCTCCCTGGGGGCTGGAAGGAATCCATGCCACACCAGGGGGAGGACGCTACGATCCAGAGCACCCCTAGGTCCCTCTGAAGGATGGGAGAATAAGGACTCATGCCCTCTGTATTGCTTTGCTTTGTTTTTTGACTGGAACTTTTCTCAGGCCACTTATAAAAGTAGCGAGTGAAATATTGGCCCTGCTAAAAACAGAGTTTTGCCCTTGAGTCCCGCCATGCCAGGGTTTCACCCACAGATTAAAACTGTATTGGGCCCTGTCTGTTCAAAGGTTCAAAAGTGGTTCCTGGCTCCACATCGAGATCATTTCCTAGAAAGCTGTATGTTGATGTGATAAAGCGTCAGGGTCTGGAGGCAGACCATATGTTATTTTACATCCTCAGATGCCTGTATAGACCACTGTTGACATTGCTGGTCAGTAACACATTATCATTTGCTATTTGTTTATGTTGCTGATAGCAAACATTACAGGAAAAATAAAAAGCGTAAGCATATGCTTTTTACTGCTGACTGGTTCCAGGCCTGCTTTAACCTTCAGCTTCTGGCACCCCGTTTCCACCACTTCCCATCTGCACTCTGCTAGCGGTGGAAGTGCCATGCGTCACCCGCCCCACGGTGGACAGGCTTTGCCCTGTGGGGGGGCCAGCGTGGGCAGCCGCCACACTCGCTGGAGGCAGAGGGAGATTTGCTGTTGGCTTCAGTGCCAGGATGGTCAGGCCACGGGCACAGATCTGCAAGTCCAGGGTGCTACGTTTGAGGTTTTGCTGTCCCAAGTCCCCTGGCGTGCTCCTCTGCCATGACATTTGTAAGCCCTTGAGGAGCAGGTACCTTCTCCCACTGCAGCGACCCGACCGCCCCAAGACAGCGGCCAGCCAGGGCTCAGCATCACGGCCAGGGCAAAGAGCAGGAGAAGGGGCGAGACGAGCTGCACTTCGCGCTGGGAGCCTGTGCTCCCCTGGGGGGCTGCCCTGTCCAGGAACACATCCACCCTGGGATGCCCACACTTGTCGCCCATCCTTGTCACGTCACCCTGGGGTGGCATCTCACCTGTGGGCGTTCAAGGACACAGGGAAGCCTGAAAGAAAGTGCCCTGGGCAAAATGTGTGCTGCGGTTGTCTGTGTGCTCACACTGGTCTTCAAGAAAATGAGAATAGCCAGGCCCATTGGACTATGCGGTCACTAGAAGATCACTGAAGGTTTGTTGTCTCGCTGTTAATGAGGTGGGCATTTCAGTCAGCTCCCTCAAGTAGCCTCTGTGTGTTCAATCACCCCCTCCCTGCAGGTGTAAATGGGGTAGCCTGTAGCAGGCTAACACATGTAACACGTTAATGAACACATCTCCCGGTTCTCTGTGCCTCGGATGCACAGATGTACATACACTCCTGCATACGTGCCTACAGCAGGTCTTTTGTATACAGAAAGTGCCTTTTTGTGGTCTTTCCCAGAGTACCATCACATGTAAAGAGAGATGTAAGGTTTATGAGTGATTTTCACAGTGTACACTAACAACTTATTTTCTAAAACAGACTAGCATCATACCGAAAGGGAATTTTTAGAGGTGATCTCACTTCTAAAGCACAGTGCTAGACGGGAAAAGAAGCACAATGAAAGACAATTGCACTGCTCTGATTTAATAACAGGAAAGTATTTGCATTTAATTAAAAAATATGTGCTCTTAAGTTCTCATTTGGGCATGATCTTTTCAAAATTAGGCAGAAATTAGGCAGGAAAACCTGGAACTGCAAGCCCTAAAGGTAAATAGACTACAAAGGCACTTCCGTTCTTTGTGTGTTTACACTGCTTGTTGTATATACATCGTGTTTGAAAATACATCATTGAATGCACCTTTTGGTTTTGTATGTCTGTTGTTTTCACTTCGGAATATATTAGCTGACATGTATTCTAGCCCGCAGCAAGTTGGAAACCACAGGACAGCTGATTGCTGGTGCTACATTGCTCTGAGGGAAAAAGACCTGAGCAGCAAGGACTGTGACTGAACCTCTGAAGTTCTTACAAGTATCGATGTAGCCAGTGCTGTAATGTCAATTAGATTATAAAATGAAACAGCAGGCTGAATCGACCACAATCCTTAAAAATCTTTCATATTTGTTTTCCAAATAGGTGGAAGAGAGAGTCAACAGCCATATTTGCTGGAGCGGTGAACCAAATTGCCTTGACTGGAACCATTACTCACTTGCACCATTGACAGCAGCAGCCAGGTAGGAGAGCAAAGAAAGGACGGGTTTGAGTGAACTGAGGGAGTGGGCCTCAGTGAATAGTTTTTCATTCTCAGGCGGCTTCATGTGGAAGTCACATTTAAATACTGATTATATGTCCTTTTGTTACAACTGAAGTCAGCTCTTGCTGAAATCAGAGGCATTTCTCTTTTGGGAGAGGTTATGGTTTTGTTCATTTGGAAGTGCTGTCTTTGCTTTGTCCGCATATTTGGTTTGCCACTTTCCCTTCTCTATGCAGTTCTTGCATCAAGTGTCCAGGGAGCACACTTGTTGAACCAAATAAACAGAAAAATGTGTTTGTAAAAATACAAGAAGAAATGGGCGGTGGGCTTTTGATATCTGAAACAGGTTTTTTTTTCATTTTTAAATTGTCCTAAAGTATGAGTTGGTGATTTCTGCTTGACCATCTTGCCATTTCAAGTGCACCATTGACAATACTGTTCAAGGTTTATTTTTTCCTCTGGGTCTTGAACACTAGGGCACATAGAAACTGCAGTTATGAAAGTGCTGACACTGTAGTATAATGACACTCAAGCTAGCTTCAAGTTAGTGGATCCCCAACAGCAATTTCACTATGGCATCAGATAGTTCAGAAGCCATTTTATCTTGTCAAGAAAATGTGTTTTCAGCTACTCATTGCAGCTCCATGTTTATTTGGGTTGGTAGTCACAGGTTGGACAGGTTTCATGTTGACTTTGTCTCAAAAACTGTGCCTGTCCCTTTTGTTGCTGTGGGAGACCCAAGGCACTGAGAAGTTCCTCTTCTCTAATGTTCTCTGCACGGGCACATTCTTGATGGTCAGAGAATTGTTAGCCCTCAGAATTTAATGAGACTGGCTTGAAATAGTGAAAAGTTAAGAAAAAGTTTGATCCTTCTCATTATCCAATACTTATCTGCAACCATAGGAGCTAGGCATATAAGGAAGACCCTGGAGAGTCTCATGTGGTATCATGACCACAGGAGAAGGTGTTCAAAGAAAATGCAGAACACATTTTGAGATAACCCCCCCTGGTTTTTCAGAACTATGTAAATAGTATTGGACCTATGTTTCATTCTATATATGAATTGAAGCAAAGAACAGAGGGGATTAAATTGAGATGGACTATCCCTTGAATCTTTGCTCAAACCTGGAACTGATCCCAAACATTCTGCAGTCCAGGGTGGTGCTATATAGGATATCTCTTCTTATGGATCCCTCTCCAAGTCCCTGCGATGGAAGTCATGTGTATCTGCATTGCACTCTTTCCCCTTTGCAGTCTCTGAGAGCTAACCGAGATCTTTCCGTGCAGCCTGGGATAGGAGCTGGGTGGGTGAGAGGGGTGCAAACTGATGGCTGTCAGCAGGGGTCTTACCAACAAACATGTCGGCAAAAAAAGAAGGCATTATCCCCCCCCCAGAGGTCCTGTGGAATTTAGGTTGAAAGTTCAGCAGGAAAACAAACTGTCCTCATGCACCCCTGAGCTCTGCTGCCAGTTTGAGAAGCATTAACAGCGTGTGAAATTTATAAGCAGGAGTAATGGAATACTCCTGCAGTACAGAAACCTAGACACATCCTGACTCACCAGGCAGGATTTAAGTGGAAAACTGGGAACTTTGGTATACAAGAGCATGGCGACCATCCTCTGAAACAGGGTTTTAGCATAAATTTTTCAGGTTTCATTAGTGTGTAACTTAATGGTACTTCTGTGCATTGGGTCGTTACTGCTGTGGCTCTCTTGTGTGGTGAGAACTCTCCCTGATAATGGGTCAGCCGACTAATGGCACGCTTTACTTTTTTGTTTGGAACAATTGAATTTTAGAATAGATGCTCTCAATTAATGCAGTTCAGACCAATGTTATTGTAACTATGATAATATGTACCGCTACCTTGTGTGCTAGGGACCCTAAGGCAAGCACTTACTACTGGTAGGGTAGTAAATACACTGCGTGAGCTAATAAAAGGCTCCCATTAAGAAATTGAACCCTATTACTGTGTACTTTACAGGTGAAAGCTTGCAGTCTGATTCCATTGCTAGATACGGGACGATAGGAAGGCACATTTTCTCTGAAGACGGGAGCATGCAATGCTGCCAAACCAGCAGTCCCAGGCGCCCTGCAGGGAATGATTCTTGCAGCAGAGCGAGATTGCACAAGCTGTGGTGTGGAGGACTAGCTGCTTTATTCTGGCTGAGAATCCTTTGAAGATACTGGTCCCGATTCTCTACCGCCTGAAACCTTTTGCTATTTATACCTGGGTAAAGTGAATGCCGAGCGAGCATAAAATGCCTCTACCCTAGTGCTAAAGGAGCTGTTATCCACTTTGCCCAAATATAAATGACTATGCAAAGGGTGAAGCAAGTTCAAGGTCTCTCTTTTTGTTATGACATTGCCCCTAGATCCTGCTGCTCGCTGCTGACGGTGTGAACGGGGGGAGGCTGTGTCTTCGTGGCGGTTTGAGCTCGAGATGTACCAACTCCGGGGGAAGCAAGAGCGCTCCGTTCTCGTCCCCCTGTTAGCCAGAGAGAGGAAAAAACATGTTTCTTCTTCCACGTCCAGGAGGTGGCCGAGCAGGCTGGCGGGACAACACATTCATCTGCTAGTTCTCTGACGGCCCGGGGTGGCAAGAAAGAGACTCGAAAACACCCAGAGCGGGCAGAAACGGGCGCTGCCGCTGCCAGCCTCCCACTCCCCGGGCACCGCACGCCGCCGTGGCCGACCTCCCGCCCGCGGACCCCGCAG